GCTGTCCTCAGCTCTGCCTTACCAACTTCTTTGGAGGCCATTTGGGCTTGTTGATGGCTGTCATAGAAAAGAAATCCAAGGGCTTGATGTTTTCCCGTCAGCCCCTAGCTAAGAATATGTTTGAGTATCATAGAAGGGTTCCATTCTGTCCAAAAGCAAAATGACTCCTCACAAATGAGGTAGAGGAGGGCAGAATAATGGCAGTGGTACACGGTACAGTCCCAGTTTTTTCTCGGAAGAATGGACATCAGGCCATTGTGGTAGGGATGGGTACTCTTCTTGACTTTGAAACAGAAAACCAATCCTTTCTCATTTTCATGTGTGCTAATATATTACACGGTCTCTGGCTCTCTTCAAATCATTCCTGGACATATGAACTCAGGGTTTCTCAGAGCAGTGATCTTTTATGTGAAAAAGGTGGCTCGAGTGACATTTTAGCAATAATAATAGCTATACTTTATTGAGTGTGCCAGTCACTATCTAGTTGCACTGAATGTATTAACATATTTCTCAAACCAAACCCAATGCCATTGAGTCGATTCTGACTCACAGCAACCCTGTAGGATAGAGTAAAACTGCCCCATAGGGTTTCAAATCTAAATCTTTATGGAAGCAGACCACTTCATCTGTCTCCCTGGGGCGTCCCAACTGCCAGCGACCTTTTGGTTAGCAGGTGAGTGCTTTAACCACTGCACCACCAGAGCTCCTCTAGGTGGTATTAACATACTTAATGCTCCCAAAACTTCCTTGAAACATTTCTGTTGTTGTTATGTGCCATAGAGTCGGACTTGACTGATAACGGCCCCTCCTTGGGTTTCCGAGGCAGTATCACTATGGAAGTAGATTGCCCCACTTTCCTTCCAAGGAGTGACTGTTGGGTTTGAACCACCAGCCTCTGGTTAGCAGTCAAGTGCCTTAGGCACTACACCACTAGAGCTCCTTCTTGCAACATTACTATTCTCTTATTACATAGGAGAAAATTGAGGCACAGAGAAGTTGAGCAATTTATCCAACCTTATACAGCTCATAAGTGAGTTCAGATCCTGTCAGCCACATCCTACTTCAAGACTCCCCCAGCAAAAAAAAAAAAAAAAATCTTTATATTACCCACTACCATTGATTCAATTCCAACACATAGCAACCTCCATTGGGTTTCCAAGGCTATAGATCTTTATGGAAGTAGATTGCCTCATCTTCTTCCTGTGGAGCAGCTGGTGGGTTTGAACTGCTAACCTTCTGGTTGTTGTGTGCCATTGAGTCGGACCTGACTCATAGCAACCCCTCCTTGGGTTTCCGAGTCAGTATCACTACAGAAGTAGATTGCCCAACCTTCCTTCCGAGGAGTGGCTGGTGGGTTTGAACCGCCAGCCTTCTGGTTAGCAGTCAAGTGCCTTAGGCACTATGCTACAAATATCTTACCCACTATGCCACCAGAGGGAGCTCTGGTAGCGTAGTGCTTAAGGCACTTGACTGCTAACCAGAAGGCTGGCCGTTCAAACCCACCAGCCACTCCTCAGAAGGAAGGTTGGGCAATCTACTTCTGTAGAGATACCGCCTCGGAAACCCAAGGAGGGGCCTCTATGAATCGAATCCCCTCGATGAAGGTGAATGTTTTTATGAGACAGAAGCAACTTAACAACAACATCCTCTTTAAATATGTTTAGCTTTCTACTTCTCTACCACATAGGGCATTTATCGAGGTTACTTAAGTGTGGTGGCAAATCATTAAGGCAATAATTTAAAAGGAGGTGAGGGTCGGCACATATTTCAGATTTATCACAGTAAGAGTTTCCTACCAGTACTGATTTCCATGCTCCATTCAAATGCTGATAAATGTGAAATGACACAGGCCAGTCATGCACAATCCTTTGCACAGAATCCAAGAGTGAGGGAAGGTCAAAAAACTTAAACTCCATTTTAATGTTGCCTGATGTAATTCTGTATAAGATGTATATGAATAAGAATGGTCAGAAGTGGATGTTGTTGTTGTTAACTGCTGTCAAATCGACCCCTGACTTGTGACAACTCCGTGCACAATGAAACCAATTGCCCCCTGGTCCTGCCCCATCCCCATGACTGGTTGCAACTCGGACCCTTGTGATCACAAGCTTTCATTGCTGATTTTTTCAAAGTAGATCTCCAGGCCTTTCTTCCTCATCTGTCTTAGTCTGAAAGTTCTGCTGAAACCTGTTCAGCTTCATAGCAACATGCAGTCCTCTGCTGACAGATAATGGCTACATCTGAGGTGCACTGGCTAGGAATGGAACCCAGGTCTCCTTCATAGAAGGAACCAGAATGGCCTTCTTTAAATCTCTCATCCATGTTGAACTTCAGCTTGCAAAGCCCAGGCTTGGCCCAGGCCAAGTTGGGAAATTTGTATATATATGTGATGCAGTGAATTACTTTATATGACCCTTCTAGCCATTGTCTTTGTGACTCTCATACAGTGGGTGGGACTATGCAAATAAGGTGCTTATGATCCACCAAGGGGATTGGACAGCTTACTAACAATGCAAATAAGGTATACAGAACCTGTGGTAGCTAAGGTTTGGGGTCAACTTGACCGGTGTATGATTTTCAGTGGTTTGGCAGTTATGTAACTATGTAATTAGGCAGTTATATAATGATGTAATTATCCTCCATTTTGTCATGTGCCTCTATGCTTGTGGTTATGGTCCCCTTTTGGAATGAGTTGTTCATTGTGTTAATGAGGCAGGAATTAGGGTGAAATGTATCTTGACTTATAGTCTTACTACAGGGTGTAACTCAAGTCACCACTCTTCACACCTTTGCATCACCTTGCTCAAGTAAGGGGTGTTTCCTTGAGGGTGAGGTCTGCATCCAATACATACACATTCGTGCTCTAGAAAAGTTTTCTATCTGCTCTGGGTCCTGCATCTGACTCGTTATTATCTGATCGCCATTTCTTGGAACCTGAGCCAGCAGCCTGTCAGCTGACCTGACTCGCCAGCTTCCACAGCCTGATGAGCAAACAGCATTGCCTGACCTGCCAATTTGGGTTTATCAGCCCCTGTAACCGTACGAGTCAGGAGAAGCCTCCAGACCAATGCCCGGCCCATGGATTTGGGGCTTGCCAGCCTCCACAATGGCATGAGCCGTTTACTTGATGGTTCATGAGTTCTGTGAGATGTTGTAGCAAATTATGGAGCCCAAATACTGGAGGGAGACTACTGAGGGGAGGAGGAGTAGTTGATGCTAGAGATAATGGAGTGGTGCAATAATTTGGAAAAGTTGGACATTTGGAACATCTTTAACCTCCACATTATAGGAACTAGCTTTGTGCTGATCCTTCTAAAAGAAATTATTCATGCAATGTTTTAGAGGAAATACCTAATAAGGTAAAATACATGTAACATAAGGAGGCCTGGTGGTGCAGTGGTTAAAAGCTTAGCTGTTCACCAAAAGTTTGAGGGTTCAAACC